CCAAGTATTTCCCTCCTGTTAGGATAGTATCTAAAAGAGGCATAAAGCGGCTCTCCAGGAGGGTTTGGGAAAGAGGTGTCAGAAAGAGGTGGGGAGAGATTGGAAAGTTCTCTTCTGAATTGTGCGTCAATTTAGTCAATGATTTAGCCCGAAAGGCTAAATAGATCTTCTTAGTTCCTAGCTGTTTGCTGGATAGTTGAGGTTGCCTGCTTACGACTTTCACCCACCTCACCCCACCCCTACGCCCTTTCCCGATTAGTATATAAATCTTTTCTCCCACCCTTGCCTGAATTTTGTTATGGAGAGGAGAGAATGAAAGTTTTCTCAGGGAGAATGAGAAGAAGGTGAATGAAGGAAAACTTGAGGTTGGTCTGTCAGTTAACCAACTGCTGTTCTTGAAACTGAAGATGTTCTGGGCCCTGTGGAGGAGACAGAAGGAGGGTGTGGAGCCTGCCTTCAAGAAGCTGAAGTTTTAGTTGGGTGAGAAGGAAAACTCAGATCTGAAACCCTCAAAAGAAAGTGATAGAGAAGTTTTGCATCAGTGTGAGTTTGGAGAAGAGTGACTTGAGTCAGGAGCTTTGAGCCAGCCGTGCCGGGGTCCACGTGGCATTTGAGTAGGTGGCTGTGCAGTGTACATTGGAGAGAACAGATACCCTGGGAGACTAAGAAGGAGGGCGAGTTAATGAAAGCCAGTTAGGAAGTGGCAGAGGTTAGGAGAGATTCAGCAGCACATCTGATAAACTCATTTCAGAGGAGTCCTCGAGGGTTTGTGACTGGTTCTGCGACTGTTGTGTCTTTGTGGTGCATTAAAATGCAGGCTTCAGGCTATACTCCAGAGACTACGGTTGTGCAGTCTGGGCTGGCTCCAGGAATGACCCAGGTCCTTCTGGTACAGGTGGCCTGCTGGACACTCTTCGAGAAATACTGGTAAAGGATGGATAAGGCGAGGTTGATTAATTCCCCCATGAGAGACAGAAATTGGGCAGGAGACGTCCCAATCCTGTTACAGGACAGGGAGAGAGCAGGTAACCCTAAAAACTGGGTGGCAGGGAAGTGAGACTAGAAGGAGCTCCTCAGCTGGAGACAGTGCCCCCCAGCCCTCACCCTTCACCCAGGTCCCTGGCTTCTCTTTCTTACCCACTCACTGGCACATCGAGAACATCATGATGCTAATTGAAACCAAGTTTGAATTCAGCTCTCCGGTGAGCCTGGAAAAGCTTTATCCTGGGGGCATTGTAACTCCAGGCAGTTACCCTGTAATGAGTGTGGGCTTTGTCAGATTTAGTGAGCAAGAAAATATGGATTATCAGTTTTAAAAAACCCTGTTAGTACTGTTACAGGAAGAACCAGGAGAAATCATAGTGATAAGCACAGTTCTTCACATCTGAAAACCATCGTATTATGATCTCTTCTCACATAGCAAATACTTGACAAAGGGGTGTTCTCTACCTCTGAATTGTTACCCCTTACCAACTCAGTGACAGGGGCCATCCAGGGCTTACTTAGGGAGTGACCTGGTCTGTCCCCACCCATGTCCTCTTCCTCAGGGAGTGTGCACCCCCAGGCGCTCCCCTGCAAGATGCTACTCCAGCTGTCTCCAGCTCTCTCCCTGTCCATTTGTGTTCCTTCTCTTATCCTTTTTTTATGCATCAATATTTCCTGCTCCTCCCCCCACCCCAAGACAAAAGAAAACACCCTGAGGACAGGTCAGGGGCAGTGGTTAGAGTCCTGGCTATGCATTAGAATCAGCTGCTGAATCACTCGCCATGCTTTACGCCAGAAACTAACACAACATTGTAAATTAACTATACTTCAATTAAAAAAAAAAAGAATCATCTGATCAGCTTTTAAAAGTGCCAACATTTCGGTCTCCAGAGACTCTGTTTTACTTCTTCAGAATTTTTAAAGCTCCCCAGGAGATTCTGGTGGGTGATTAGGATCAAAACCACCTCAGTGTACTTGATAGGTGTAGCGGTACTAACAGTGCCCCTGTCTTAAGGAAAGTGGAAGCTGCAAGATTTGAAATGGAAATAAGCCTTTTAAAATAATGCCTGTTGCTGCTCAGGTCCCAGATGCATGCTGAGTTCCCAGAGTTCTAAGCCTGCTTTCTATGAAGCACCAGCATTCAAAATGAAAAACAAAAACGTGAGCTTTCTTTTATTGGCTTCAGAATTTCTGTGGTTTTGTTTTCCACTGTGTTGCATGAGTCTCAGATACAGCGGGGTGTGACCCCGGGGAGCTTGTGGCCTTCATCACTCTGGTCACCCTCTCTGGGCCTCACGGTCCAGTGGAGCAGCATTTAGTCCTGCAGGAGGACCTTGTACAACCGGAGGATTTGGACCGTCACCCAGAATCGCTGGTCACACACTTGGGTCCACAAACACATGCCCTAGTCTTTGTTTTGTGTTCTGACAAGGCCCAGTGCTAGGTTTTTGGAAGGATACTTAAGAGAAAAAAAAATTACTTCTGTTGGATAAACAGCTTTGAAGTCTCCTTGTTCATCCTTGAAATAGTGATGACCATGAGGTAAACCCTTATAATTCTCCTTAGAAGCCTTTTAAATTTTGTTAGGAGCCAGTTGGAAATTAGATCCACAAAAATTAAAAACTAGTAATTGACAATTGAAGCTCCTCATTCAACTGGTCTCTAAACTCTGTGTTTTAGGTTCCATAAAAATTCTTCCAATAAGTGTATTTTGTTTTCTTTTGCAATTTACATGAGAATGTTTTGTGGCATAGTGCTTGTTTTTCAAAACTGTCTTGGGCCAAATTTTGGATTGTGTTGAAAATGAATGGAGCCCTTTGAATGGAGGAATGCTGAAATGAGAAAATGTAAAAAGTTCCATTTTTTTTTTGTCACCTAACATTGATTCTGAAGGATGAAAAATGAAAACTCGAGGCATAGTTTTTCTTCAGAGTCTGGCGGGTGATCTAACTGTGGTTATAAGTAACTTCTGAGCCACACTCAGAGTTGCTCCGCTCTCGCTGACCTCCCTTTCTCCTTTCTGTAATTACTGAATATGGCCCTGAAAACCCATGTAGGACCAAATGGAGAATCTAGACTCTGTGATCTTATCCCCACAAAAGCAGGCTGTAGGGATAGTCCTTGCAGGACACCACTTCCCCTGGGGATCTCTGTAACTGTAATTTACAGGGGTGTCTCTGTTGTCTTAAATGCACAAGGGACTGTCCTCCCTTGCCCTCAGAGGTAGCATAACGAGTGGGTTGCTCTAGGTGGAGATGAGGCCAGAGAGAAAGCACGTGAGCGCATCACCTGTTACAGATCCACTTTTCAGGGTGCATGCAGTGGGTGCTCTGGGCAGAGGGTCTGCGTGACAGCAGGCATGTTGTGGGCTGTGATGGCTATTTTATATTTGTCTGCCTGTTTTGGCTGGGACAAATGAGATGCCTGCCTCTTCCACTGAGGTGTGCTTTGTGAGAGGAGCCAGGCCGAAGTCCTTGTAGCAGCTGCGAGATGGATTCCCTCCCTGGCTGGCAGAGCTCCCTGGAAAGAGGCAGGTGATTGCTTTTATGAGTGAATAATAGGAGGACGCCTCAGATATTTGAGCTACTATTCACCAGGTGGTGCTGTCCTGCAGTGAATACTTAAATACTACCAGTGACGTCAGCAACCTGGGGACGGAAAAGCCTGGGTTGCTCAGAAGCCTTGGCAGTGTTGGTGGGCTGTTGCTGAACATGAGATGAGATCTGACATAGGGGGAAACCTGGACCATGTAGGTTTCTCCTCTGTGTTCTGCTTCAGTGAGATCTCAGCTGTCTCTGAAGTGGGAAGACTGGACCTGTCCCTTGCCTCGGTCCCTGGTTTCCTCCCAGAGAAAAGCTCCCATGCTCCGTTCTCATCTTTGAAGTCCTGGTGGGTACGGGGGGTGGGGTGGGGGCATGTCTTGTAGAGCTCCTCATTAAACAGACTTAAAGGGGAGAAAAGTCCTCTACCCTGCCTTTGCATGCACAAACCTATGATACTGTGGTGCCCTGCCAAGGTGGTTTTGTTGGCCCAAACGTGACTACACATGATCGTCCTCTTTGGTAATGAAGCCTGGCAGCATTGCTATGAGGGTATTGACTTGGGCGAGAGCCCGGTTGTCGGTGTGTTTGAGCATGGATAGCACCCTTGAAAAAGACCATCTTCCAGGATCAGAATAGCTGTACAAAGAATATTTCCCAGGGAAACGGACTCTGAGTCAGTCATGGGGAACCTCTGGCTGGAACCCTTCAGTGGACAAAGATGCATCGAGTGTCTGCCTCTACCTGTGATAAGAGCAGAAGGGTAGTGTGGGAACCAAAGGGAAGACCAGCCCTTGAGAAACCGGTAGGAGAGGAGGTCAAGGCAGAGGGAAACACGTGCTAGAGCTCAGGTGTTCTGAGTGCAGAGGAAGGACTGGTGAGATTCCGTGGGGGGTGGGGCGGGCGTGCAGGTGGTATTTGAGCTGTGATTGGAGGATGACTAAGTTCCCGAGTGGGGGAGGTGTTTCAGAATGGGGAACAGAGAGAGCAAAGGTGAGAGGTTGGGTGGCGTGCTCAGGAATGGTGAGTCGTGTGGAGAGCTGGGACCTGTGAAGAGCGAGGTGGGAGATAGGGAAGAAGTCTTCTGGAGAACTTCAGCACTTCCCCAAGTGTTTGAGAGAGGGTCCCGGCTTGTTATCTCAAACCTCTGAAACATTTTTGGCGTATTGGGCTGCAAACCCATTAGCATCACTTAAAGAGAAAACCTGAGCAAAAGAAGGTAAACCGGACGCTCCAGTACCTTGGTCAAGACAGGGGCTTTCAGTGAATGTCCCTGGTCAGCCTAGACAGGAGGTATCAGCAGAATAAATGAGTTTTCTTGCGTTTGCCAACTGGTCACTCTGTTTTCCCCTGTTGTACGTGCTGTCTCTCCTCTCCATCAGGGCTTTGTCTGGAGTTCCAGTTGTAGCTGGTTTTACAAACTCAGTGCTTCTTGTGTCATAGGACGGGTGTGCTGACTGGTTTTCTTTTTTCCAGCTCCCTTCCCAGCTTTCTGTGGCTGACTTGTCTAAAGGAACATTCTGGGTGCTCCCTGAGTGAAGCAGCTTCTCTTTGTGGCCGGCGGCAAGTGGCGTCTGGAGTGAGGCGAGGTGAGTGAGACCCAGAGAGAATTTGTACTCTGACAGACCAAGTTTTCCAGGATAGGTTATTTTCTGAAAAATTTTGAGGCCTTTGAAAGTAAACGGGGTTTTTATTCAAAGAAATTTAAGAATAATTACAAAAAGAAAATCCGTGTCTTAATTACTGTGTTAAAGCACTCATTATTTGGGGTTTTTTTTTGTTTTGTTTTTGTCTTGGCAGGGAGGTGGGGGAGGGAGGTAATTAGGTTTGTTTATTTTTAGAGGAGGTACTAAGGATCGAACCCAGGACCTTGTGCATGCTAGGCATGCACTTTACCACTTGAGCTGTGCCCTCCCCCAAAGCACTCGGTATGAATAATAGGGATGCTTTGATACAATCCTTGAAAGTTTTTCTAATTTTTTTGGTGCCCATTTCAGGGTTTTTTGGTCTCTGGTGTCTCACATAGTACTTGTCCATCGAAAACATTTAATATATGTTGTGTGAATGGCTTAATACTTTAATTTACAGCTGGCAAACAAAGACGTACTATGGATAAACATTTTTCGGACTTCTTATAATGTCTGGCTGGCTATTTTTTTCCTAATATATTTCTTTAAATCGAGATGTAATTGACATGTAACAGGACATTAGCTTCAGGTGTACAATGGAACTATTCACTAGATGACTATGTTGTGATGTCTCTTCTTTGTCCTGTCTTTCTTCTCTTTCCCAGCCCCCATGAAAAACTTTTGAAGTTTAATTACAAGCCTCCCTTCAGTTACCAGGAGACAAATCAGGGGACGGTTACAACTGCCTTACCCAGCTGCTCTCCCTGGCTGGCTCCTTAGGGCCATGCCGGCTTCAGTGGCTTAGGCTCCATCTCCCACCTGCTCTACATCCTGTCTTGTTTTTACCTCTTTCTGAGTGTGTTGTTCCTTCCCTGGGTTTCAGGGAGGATTCTCTAGTTTTGTGGCTGTAGGAACTTTAAGAAAGTTGCTGCCTTTCTCTTGTGTTGTGGTTCTCCTGTACCTTAGTCTTACGTGTAGATTGTGAAACAAAAATACCTCCAGCAAGGGGTGGGGGGAGGCTGGAGGCTCCTGAGGGGTATGATTTTTGCTCCATGCATTGTTTTGTTTGTGTTCCCTGTTCTCAGTGTGGAGCATGTGGAGGACTTAAACATTCCCTCTTTCCTTTAAGGAGGGAGAATTGGCTGGGAGGTGCAGCGTGGAGGGCTGCTGTTACTCATGCTCAGGTGCTCGCAGTTGAGGCCTTGGAGCGGGAGTGCCCAGAAGGTCCAGGACAGATTGGTTGCCTGGGGGCACCGAAGGCTCTGCGCTGGATCCCTTCTCTCTGGGTGCTGGAAACGCTCCTCCCTCGGAGATGGGGTCAAGGTTAAAGCTGCTTCCAAACCTCTGAATTCATGAGACATCCGTGTGAGGTGCGCGTGCACTCTGCCATCTGTCCTGTGTGGCTTGCTTGCAGGACTGCAGATTCTGCTCTCACCCTTCCTGCTGTGCCTTGCTCATCAATGAATAACACAGTGGTCACACTGCCCGCCCCCCCCCAACTTTGGGGGGTGCTGCCAAGAGGTAAAACCTTCTACAGGAGCATCACATCATAACCTCCCGTGAAGTTTTAATTCTTGCTATGTATATATGTTTTTTTTTAATCTCCTCAAGGGGTGATGGTGTATAACTTGAAGAATATTTGTGTGTGGAGTAGACTCAAAAAAAAAAAACAACCCCAAAAGACTTTCTTAGCCTGAGCAGATGTTTGGGAGAATTATTTTTGAACTCTACTAACTAGTTGAACCAGTTTACACTGCCAAGCCAAACATTCCCTTGTTGTGCCATAATTTGCATTGTAGGACCGTTTTATAACTTTAATTTAAAATTGCCTAGGACAACACTTTCTACGGTTGTAAGTACACAAGGAATGAGGAAAATGACATTGAAGAACAATTTACTAAATTTAATGAGAGCTTAGGCTTATTTAGAAATCCAGGTGGGAATCTGCTTGAGTGGAATTTTACCAAAGTATGCAGAGATTTGCATATTGAAACCAAAGCCTTTCCTGACTTGTGGCAACACATTTCTCAAAGTAATGTTGAAATAGCAATTTATATGCATTGCCCTTAGAGAGTTATTGGACAGGAAATTTATTTAGTAAGTTATACATTTTTTTCCTCCTCCAGTTTTTGGGTGGCAGCGAATTAAGGTAATTTTTCTTTTCTCTTTCCCCCAGGGACCAACTTCAAGGAACTAGATAGGAGCTTAATAGCAAAGATCGTGTTGAATGGCTTTTGTGGTTTTTAACTATGTCTCTTTTGCTAATTTCCCTTTCTCTGAAAGAAAACCTTGTAATCTGTTATTTGAGGTTTTAATAATTGATGGGTTTGGAGAATGGTGAGTTTCTATTTTGAAATCAGAGTCTTACCATTTAGGGAGGGACCTTACAGATGACCTGTCATCTGGTTTCCATCGCCTCAACTTCGCAGAACTGCTCTTGTCACAAATGGCCTCTGTCTGATAGGACTCGTGACGTGACTTTCCTGTAGCACTTGGTAGTACTGATCACTCCTCATCTGGAACCTTCTCCCCTGGGTTCCCTTGCATCATTCCCCACTACTGTTCTCCTTTCATTTCCTCCTGGATCCTGCTGTGCTGCCCTCAAACGTCCCTGTTCCCTGGCCTTGCCTCCTTGGTGGTTTTCTTTCAGTCTGCTCAGCCTCTTTGGGGGACCTCAGCCCTGCCTGGCTTTAGCCACCACCCACATGTTAATGACCCCCACGTCTTTCCAGTTCCCCCTTGTCTAAAACAATCTTTTGTACATTTCTGCTTGGATGACTCATATGTACTTTTAACTTGGTATCTCCAAACTGAACTCATTTCCCTCCTAATTACTGCCTGCTTTCCACCCTCCACCTCCCAACGTCCCCTCACTCCCATGCTTCTGTCTGTCTGCTTTTCCCATGTCGGTCGTTGGCACTATTCAAGCCAGAAATGTGTGACTCATCCTTCACCCTCCCTCAGTCAGCCCTATTTCCTAGTTGTCGATTAAGTTCTATCATTTTAGTATCCTAAATAGAAAAGGAAAAGGCCGTTCTACTGACAGTTATTATGGGCTTTAAAGTCGTAGTTTGGCCTGTGTGAGCAGATACAATAACATGAAACAGCGACAACCATGTATGTAATATTCATTTCTTGCTAGGCGTAGTCGTAGGTCCTTGTCATGTTTCTAATTCTCAGTTATTTTGTAGTATATCATCTCTGTTACCAATGAGGATTCTAAGGTTTGGAGAGTTTACGTTACAAGCCCAGGATAACAGGGTAGGTTAAGCACAGTGAGTTAGGATTTTAAACCTCTGAGTTGGTCTCCTGGCTCCAGAGACTTCTCTATCATGTCACTCTGTCTTGCGCTGTTCCCATAATGCCACAGGTTTAGGTTTCTGGTGCGTAGGTGACTATGCTGAAGGCAGGAACTGTGTCTTACTCAAATTTGTGTGCACCAGGTATTTTTTTTCTTATGTAGTAGGTGATAAAGACTCTTAAATGGCAAAACCATGGTCTGTGTCTTCTGCGGCTTTGTCCGGGTTCAGTCCTGGTTCTTCTGTTAGCTGCGCTCGCTGGGTAGCCTGAGATCAGGATGCTGGGGTAGTGCTGCTTACTCTTGCAGGGTTTTTATGGGAAAGTGCATTAAAATTCCAGGACATTTTTGAGAAATTTTGTTTGGTTGTGGACATTGATAATTGGCCAGCTCAGATGAGCCTCTTTTTCTTTTTGGTTACAGATGACATGTGAAAATATAAACTCTAGTGATCATGCTGATTGAGTCATTCACAGGCTTGCAATAATAAAAGCAGGAAAGTCCCTTCCAAGCAAAGACCTTCTTAATAAGGATAGTATATGTGGATCTGATTTTTGCTACTAGCTCTGAATATAATAACCATTTTAGAACAGATGAGGATATGATCTATGAAACTACATTATTTAGGGCTAGGCAGGTGAATTAAAGCAGAGTCTACTGAAGTTTTTTATTCTGATAAACTGATGTTAGGTGCATGGACTTGAACATGTGCTGCAGCACAACACAGTCCCTAAATCGTGGTGCAGACCGTTCTGTATTTTTTTTTCCTCCTGCGTCTCCTTTTTCCCTGAGAAGGAAATGCTCTGTGTTTTCCATCATATTTTGCTAACAAGTTTCTCTAAGGAGAGGGCCCCTTATATTGAAGGTTTAATGATTTCTAAATTCCACAGTGAAGAATTGGTTTTGTATATCTTTAAGCCCCATGCGCTGCAGTAGAGGCTGGTCTTGTACATCATTTAATCTTGGGATTCAAGGCTTAGGGTGCCAAGGGCAAGGTTCTAATGTTTTTTTCTTCCAAGAGTGGAAGTTAAGAGAGAAGGTGTGGCCTGGGCCCAGCTGTGAAGTTTCTCTCTCAATGTCTTTACCTGCCAAAGAGGTCAGTTGAAATTCCTACCTCCTCATTGTCATGAGGGCTAAATGAGATACTTCCAGGGAAAAACATAACAGTGCCTGCCACAGGGTGCATTTGTGTCCCCACCTCTGCTGTTATTTTCATGGTGGTTGGATTTGTGGAGTAAAGGTCTTCTGTTTTCTACAGATTTACAGTATTGATAAGAGATAATTTTAAGAACTCATAAGTCTGAGTCGGAGATGAGTGGCTTTGTGGTTTTCAATGAATTATCAGTGCATTGAAATAGGGGCTTTATTAAGTTTGTGAGAAGGCAGAAGGGAGTTGGCTTGGGAAGTTTGACTGCTTAAAAATAAGGGCCAGATATTGTTTTGTATCCAGCTTTGTTGCAGACTCCCATCCTTTGTGAACCAGAAAGATGTTTCAGTGAGACCATGACGACTTAGTACATCTGTGCCACATCTTCATTATATCTAGAACAGTTTCACACCCACTGTCTCTAATTCAAAGTCATTCCAGAAACATGTGTTCCTGTTTTCCACTGGGCTCTAATTGGGCTGTTTCTCCTTAAAGGAGGGATTGGGACCACACACT